GTTAAATGTTAAGTTTATAATATGCATAGTTAATCGCTAAATTTAGGGTCTATGTGCGCTATAGGCCTACAGACTGATTTAAAACACGTGAATTCATTTATTTATCCAGAAAGAAATGGAAGTGACATGAGTGCCTGCAAGAGGGAGAAAAATTGAGTAGCCTATATTTTATAGTTATACATATATATATAATACTCATTTTGTGAAAGAAACTCTTCTTCAAATTATATTTTAAATTATCATTAGGCCTATTGCTGCTTGCTCACTTCAGACATTAGGCCTAATGTGCATTTTTCTTCTTCAAATTATAGCTGAATGGTTTGCAATGATTAATTTTAAATCTAGATTAAATCAAGGTTTATCTAATAATTCTGTTGCACCAAACTTCAAACCTTTAAAAATAAGCAGGTTTACATTTTTAACCCATCATTTTGATCGTATTTAAATTATATGCGCCATAACTTTAAACTCAGATTTAAATCTCAATTATGGATTAACTTTAAATTTAACCCTTAAATGCATACCTCTGGTCTTTAGCGACCCGGGACATCATTCTCTACCCTCTCCCTCCTTCATTTTTTTAAGTTAGACATCAACTTTCTTAGTATTCCTCAATCTATGAATTATAAACAATATAACAAGAAACAAATAGTAAAATATAAAAGAATGCCAGTTTTCTGATTATTTTTTTGTAAAAAGTGTATAGGGTCGCTAGAGACCCGAGGTATGTAAATGTGTAAGTATTTTTCCTGCACAACTATATTTACATATCTGATGACTCAATATGTGCAATGCATCTTTTTTCCTCAAGGTGGCACTGTTTGATACACAATAATGACGAGACGTTTCACTCATAATTACCGCAGGCATAAAACAAACTAATATCATCAGCAACAATTGAAGTGGTTTGAATGGCTTTACTGCAGAGCAATTACTATACTACACAATGAAATATAAATGTCACTGTCATTTGATGCTGGATGTGGTGAATAAGCTGCCAGTGATCAAAATATTGAATATGAAGTCATTGAAAAGGATAGTTTTGAGAATATGTTTGAGATCGTGAATATGAGGCAGATGCTACTGTAGAAGTGCGCTCTGACGATGACAACGATGGTAAAACCATCTGCTCAAATTGAACCCTTTTAAGTTTCAAAAGGTAATGAAATATGCTTCATTTTATTCCTTCTGTAATTGTTCTTAAAATATCAAGAGAGTTTTTTGCTATTGCAGTAGTGCTGTATATATAGGTCCGGGTCACTAAAGACCCGAATATAATGATTGGCGAAACATTCATGCATTTAAGGGTTAATGGAGGTTTAAATAAATAAAAAAATGCACATGCAATTAAAATATAACTGATCGAACAAAAACAGAGAGGTGTTTATTACAAATCAAAATGAAAGCACATGGAGTTGGCAGAGTGCGAGGGTCGCATGGTAAAACCATCTGCTCAAATTGAACCCTTTTAAGTTTCAAAAGGTAATGAAATATGCTTCATTTTATTCCTTCTGTAATTGTTCTTAAAATATCAAGAGAGTTTTTTGCTATTGCAGTAGTGCTGTATATATAGGTCCGGGTCACTAAAGACCCGAATATAATGATTGGCGAAACATTCATGCATTTAAGGGTTAATGGAGGTTTAAATAAATAAAAAAATGCACATGGAATTAAAATATAACTGATCGAACAAAAACAGAGAGGTGTTTATTACAAATCAAAATGAAAGCACATGGAGTTGGCAGAGTGCGAGGGTCGTGGCGGGATGCGGATCCGTCACTCATCAAGCACTCATGGTGCACCTCGGTGTCGGACAAACAGAAGAAGTGAGGAATATTTAACAGCAGCGGTCACAGTGAAGTTTTCATGCCCGCTCCGTGTGTCTGCTGGGCGGCGATCAAGCGGACAGGGCAGCGCTTTTCATGAGCGGAGATCGCTACTAGACGAATCATGTCGTTTTTTATTTCTGTTCTTTTGTCTTAAGTTATGCTATTACTCCAGTAATTTATACTAGCCTATCCAGCACTCCCTGAACGCAGTCTCTGGTCTCGAGTCATTGCTGTCAAAGTCTAAGTCGAGTCTCAAGTCTTCTTTAATTATGTCGAGTCGAGTCGCAAGTCATCAAATTTGGGACTCAAGTCCGAGTCAAGTCTGGAGTCAAGTGACTCCCTGCATTATAGATTGCTTAGGTGTTTTTGTTTTAGGAAAATGTACAAAATGTATTAGTAATAATTTGCTATTATAATAATGAAACGCAAATATTCATCATGTAGAGCTCAGAGCGCACGTAAAATTATCGTAATACTGGGATAAGTGAAAGAATTTAATAGAAATATATAGGGTGTGGGGGGGGTCCTTTCCGCTCTTTTCTTTCAAAGTACTGCCCACACTCCAGTCCAGTAGGTGGCACCTTTATGCACCTTTATGCAGATAAATACAACTTTAAGTTGGTTTGCCAGCCGCCAATAAAATTTAAAGAAGAAGATAAAATTATCGTGCATAGAACAGGAAGCTGTACCAACACAACCGGAAACAGACTTTTATTTTAAAGTATTTTTTACAGACTCTTGCTTCACAGTCCGTTTCGTCACAGACATGGCGGCGTCCAGTGTTTTTAAAGCAGGGCTTTTCAATTACAAAGTTGCAATCGTGACGGGAGGCGGGACTGGGATAGGAAAAGCTATTACTTCTGAGCTCTTACAGTTAGGTATGCATTTACTGGAAGTTTTAATGATGGATTTGACTTTGTATTTAGTTCAGGACTGCAGTGAACTTTAGTCCAGATATTGAGCAACACACAAAGCAATCAGTCAATCATTTATAAAATATTCATTTTCACATTTTACATATCACATATTAGTAATAACATATTTAATTCATACCAATGCAATATATTTGATGTTTTTAGATTATGATTTCCGTTTCTGTTACGTTGAAATATGCAAATGAGGCACTGTCTAATTAAATATTCATTAATTTGAATATATTTCCAGGTCAGTTATTCTTCTTTCATTTTGTTAATATATTAAAGTTTTTTTACATTATTTTTTAAATAGTTTTTAATCACGCCATCAATATAAAAAAAAAATACAATCAACAGCCAAAAAAAAAAAAAATTTGAAAGAAAAAAAAAAGGTTTGTCTGAAGTGGGGTTTTTTTGTTTGTTTGTTTATGGAAGCCCATTTCTGTTACTAAATAAAAACTTTTAAAAAAAAAAGGTAATTGCGACTTTTTATCACACAATTCTGACATTTTTTCGTGCAATTGTGAGTTTACATCTCGCAATTGAGGCTTTTTTTCTTAGAATTGCAAGATGTAAACTCACAATTGCGAGAAAACACGTCAGAATTGCGAGATGTAAATGTTCTTTTTCTGTTTATATCTCAGAATTGTGAGTTAAAAAGGCTAATTGCTTTGTTTTGTTTTTTTATTCAGTAGCAGAAATGGGCTTCCATAGTTTTTCCTTAACTATTAAATAAATATCTTCCACTTAAACTATTAAATAAAACTCAATGAATAGTATATACAAAAATCTAGAGTCTCAAACATCACTAATGTTGTAGGTTGCAGTGTGGTCATATCATCCAGGAAGCTTGAGCGTCTGGAGTCAGCAGCTGAAGAGCTGACGCAGAAAATCCCCCCATCCAGTCTGGCTAAAGTGACCCCTATACAGTGCAACATCCGAAATGAAGAAGAGGTGACAGTCTCATAAACCTGTATTTTGTACCTTTATGCCAGAGAAGCGTGTAAAATAGTCTTTGTTTTTAGCATGTTCATTTTGGACTGGTTTCTCCAGCTGGAAAATACCGGTTCATAGGTAATAACAGTATACTGTAGGTCTGGATTATAATGTGGTGTGATTATTTAGCTCCCGTTCTTAACAGGTGAAGAACCTGATGGCCTCCACTCTGAAGCTTCATGGGAGGATTGACTTTTTGGTGAATAATGGAGGTGGGCAGTTTTCCAGCCCAGTGAACTTGATGAGTGCAAAAGGCTGGAAAGCTGTGATTGACACTAACCTCAACGGAACGTTCTTATGCTGCAAAGAAGGTTTGGCATAAATGGCAATGTGAAATGCGAGACATACAGTTTAGCAGTTTATCTGCTGTTTGTTTTGATCGTAATGTGCAAATTGTAAACTTTATTTCTGAAATTACATGTTGACAATTCTGCATAATAAATTCAAAGGCTACTCAGTCAATTTTTGCTCTTAATTCATAGCATACAATGCATGGATGAAAGATCATGGAGGTGCAATTGTGAACATCATTGCAGACATGTGGAAGGGTTTTCCTGGAATGGCGTGAGTTGGACATTATAACAATATAATAAAAATATTGTGTATTACTTTGCATTGTTTGGCTGGTTAAATCCTCTTTTTTAATTTGTTAAAAAAATTTTATGACAGGCACACAGGAGCGGCCAGAGCAGCCGTGGACAACCTGACCAAGAGCCTGGCCATTGAGTGGGCTGACAATGGGGTCCGGATCAACTCTGTGGCTCCGGTTAGTGCCAGTTTAGAAACAATTTAAAAGCATGTATTGTATTTGGATAGTGCTCCCTACTCAGGGACGTTGAAAAAAGGGGTTGATATGCATGTTTGATTTACAGGGCGGGATGCGGATCCGTCACTCATCAAGCACTCATGGTGCACCTCGGTGTCGGACAAACAGAAGAAGTGAGGAATATTTAACAGCAGCGGTCACAGTGAAGTTTTCATGCCCGCTCCGTGTGTCTGCTGGGCGGCGATCAAACGGACAGGGCAGCGCTTTTCATGAGCGGAGATCGCTACTAGACGAATCATGTCGTTTTTTATTTCTGTTCTTTTGTCTTAAGTTATGCTATTACTCCAGTAATTTATACTAGCCTATCCAGCACTCCCTGAACGCAGTCTCTGGTCTCGAGTCATTGCTGTCAAAGTCTAAGTCGAGTCTCAAGTCTTCTTTAATTATGTCGAGTCGAGTCGCAAGTCATCAAATTTGGGACTCAAGTCCGAGTCAAGTCTGGAGTCAAGTGACTCCCTGCATTATAGATTGCTTAGGTGTTTTTGTTTTAGGAAAATGTACAAAATGTATTAGTAATAATTTGCTATTATAATAATGAAACGCAAATATTCATCATGTAGAGCTCAGAGCGCACGTAAAATTATCGTAATACTGGGATAAGTGAAAGAATTTAATAGAAATATATAGGGTGTGGGGGGGGTCCTTTCCGCTCTTTTCTTTCAAAGTACTGCCCACACTCCAGTCCAGTAGGTGGCACCTTTATGCACCTTTATGCAGATAAATACAACTTTAAGTTGGTTTGCCAGCCGCCAATAAAATTTAAAGAAGAAGATAAAATTATCGTGCATAGAACAGGAAGCTGTACCAACACAACCGGAAACAGACTTTTATTTTAAAGTATTTTTTACAGACTCTTGCTTCACAGTCCGTTTCGTCACAGACATGGCGGCGTCCAGTGTTTTTAAAGCAGGGCTTTTCAATTACAAAGTTGCAATCGTGACGGGAGGCGGGACTGGGATAGGAAAAGCTATTACTTCTGAGCTCTTACAGTTAGGTATGCATTTACTGGAAGTTTTAATGATGGATTTGACTTTGTATTTAGTTCAGGACTGCAGTGAACTTTAGTCCAGATATTGAGCAACACACAAAGCAATCAGTCAATCATTTATAAAATATTCATTTTCACATTTTACATATCACATATTAGTAATAACATATTTAATTCATACCAATGCAATATATTTGATGTTTTTAGATTATGATTTCCGTTTCTGTTACGTTGAAATATGCAAATGAGGCACTGTCTAATTAAATATTCATTAATTTGAATATATTTCCAGGTCAGTTATTCTTCTTTCATTTTGTTAATATATTAAAGTTTTTTTACATTATTTTTTAAATAGTTTTTAATCACGCCATCAATATAAAAAAAAATACAATCAACAGCCAAAAAAAAAAAAAAGTTTGAAAGAAAAAAAAAAGGTTTGTCTGAAGTGGGGTTTTTTTGTTTGTTTGTTTATGGAAGCCCATTTCTGTTACTAAATAAAAACTTTTTTTAAAAAAAAGGTAATTGCGACTTTTTATCACACAATTCTGACATTTTTTCGCGCAATTGTGAGTTTACATCTCGCAATTGAGGCTTTTTTTCTTAGAATTGCAAGATGTAAACTCACAATTGCGAGAAAACACGTCAGAATTGCGAGATGTAAATGTTCTTTTTCTGTTTATATCTCAGAATTGTGAGTTAAAAAGGCTAATGGCGGGATGCGGATCCGTCACTCATCAAGCACTCATGGTGCACCTCGGTGTCGGACAAACAGAAGAAGTGAGGAATATTTAACAGCAGCGGTCACAGTGAAGTTTTCATGCCCGCTCCGTGTGTCTGCTGGGCGGCGATCAAACGGACAGGGCAGCGCTTTTCATGAGCGGAGATCGCTACTAGACGAATCATGTCGTTTTTTATTTCTGTTCTTTTGTCTTAAGTTATGCTATTACTCCAGTAATTTATACTAGCCTATCCAGCACTCCCTGAACGCAGTCTCTGGTCTCGAGTCATTGCTGTCAAAGTCTAAGTCGAGTCTCAAGTCTTCTTTAATTATGTCGAGTCGAGTCGCAAGTCATCAAATTTGGGACTCAAGTCCGAGTCAAGTCTGGAGTCAAGTGACTCCCTGCATTATAGATTGCTTAGGTGTTTTTGTTTTAGGAAAATGTACAAAATGTATTAGTAATAATTTGCTATTATAATAATGAAACGCAAATATTCATCATGTAGAGCTCAGAGCGCACGTAAAATTATCGTAATACTGGGATAAGTGAAAGAATTTAATAGAAATATATAGGGTGTGGGGGGGGTCCTTTCCGCTCTTTTCTTTCAAAGTACTGCCCACACTCCAGTCCAGTAGGTGGCACCTTTATGCACCTTTATGCAGATAAATACAACTTTAAGTTGGTTTGCCAGCCGCCAATAAAATTTAAAGAAGAAGATAAAATTATCGTGCATAGAACAGGAAGCTGTACCAACACAACCGGAAACAGACTTTTATTTTAAAGTATTTTTTACAGACTCTTGCTTCACAGTCCGTTTCGTCACAGACATGGCGGCGTCCAGTGTTTTTAAAGCAGGGCTTTTCAATTACAAAGTTGCAATCGTGACGGGAGGCGGGACTGGGATAGGAAAAGCTATTACTTCTGAGCTCTTACAGTTAGGTATGCATTTACTGGAAGTTTTAATGATGGATTTGACTTTGTATTTAGTTCAGGACTGCAGTGAACTTTAGTCCAGATATTGAGCAACACACAAAGCAATCAGTCAATCATTTATAAAATATTCATTTTCACATTTTACATATCACATATTAGTAATAACATATTTAATTCATACCAATGCAATATATTTGATGTTTTTAGATTATGATTTCCGTTTCTGTTACGTTGAAATATGCAAATGAGGCACTGTCTAATTAAATATTCATTAATTTGAATATATTTCCAGGTCAGTTATTCTTCTTTCATTTTGTTAATATATTAAAGTTTTTTTACATTATTTTTTAAATAGTTTTTAATCACGCCATCAATATAAAAAAAAATACAATCAACAGCCAAAAAAAAAAAAAAGTTTGAAAGAAAAAAAAAGGTTTGTCTGAAGTGGGTTTTTTTTTGTTTGTTTGTTTATGGAAGCCCATTTCTGTTACTAAATAAAAACTTTTAAAAAAAAAAGGTAATTGCGACTTTTTATCACACAATTCTGACATTTTTTCGCGCAATTGTGAGTTTACATCTCGCAATTGAGGCTTTTTTTCTTAGAATTGCAAGATGTAAACTCACAATTGCGAGAAAACACGTCAGAATTGCGAGATGTAAATGTTCTTTTTCTGTTTATATCTCAGAATTGTGAGTTAAAAAGGCTAATTGCTTTGTTTTGTTTTTTTATTCAGTAGCAGAAATGGGCTTCCATAGTTTTTCCTTAACTATTAAATAAATATCTTCCACTTAAACTATTAAATAAAACTCAATGAATAGTATATACAAAAATCTAGAGTCTCAAACATCACTAATGTTGTAGGTTGCAGTGTGGTCATATCATCCAGGAAGCTTGAGCGTCTGGAGTCAGCAGCTGAAGAGCTGACGCAGAAAATCCCCCCATCCAGTCTGGCTAAAGTGACCCCTATACAGTGCAACATCCGAAATGAAGAAGAGGTGACAGTCTCATAAACCTGTATTTTGTACCTTTATGCCAGAGAAGCGTGTAAAATAGTCTTTGTTTTTAGCATGTTCATTTTGGACTGGTTTCTCCAGCTGGAAAATACCGGTTCATAGGTAATAACAGTATACTGTAGGTCTGGATTATAATGTGGTGTGATTATTTAGCTCCCGTTCTTAACAGGTGAAGAACCTGATGGCCTCCACTCTGAAGCTTCATGGGAGGATTGACTTTTTGGTGAATAATGGAGGTGGGCAGTTTTCCAGCCCAGTGAACTTGATGAGTGCAAAAGGCTGGAAAGCTGTGATTGACACTAACCTCAACGGAACGTTCTTATGCTGCAAAGAAGGTTTGGCATAAATGGCAATGTGAAATGCGAGACATACAGTTTAGCAGTTTATCTGCTGTTTGTTTTGATCGTAATGTGCAAATTGTAAACTTTATTTCTGAAATTACATGTTGACAATTCTGCATAATAAATTCAAAGGCTACTCAGTCAATTTTTGCTCTTAATTCATAGCATACAATGCATGGATGAAAGATCATGGAGGTGCAATTGTGAACATCATTGCAGACATGTGGAAGGGTTTTCCTGGAATGGCGTGAGTTGGACATTATAACAATATAATAAAAATATTGTGTATTACTTTGCATTGTTTGGCTGGTTAAATCCTCTTTTTTAATTTGTTAAAAAAATTTTATGACAGGCACACAGGAGCGGCCAGAGCAGCCGTGGACAACCTGACCAAGAGCCTGGCCATTGAGTGGGCTGACAATGGGGTCCGGATCAACTCTGTGGCTCCGGTTAGTGCCAGTTTAGAAACAATTTAAAAGCATGTATTGTATTTGGATAGTGCTCCCTACTCAGGGACGTTGAAAAAAGGGGTTGATATGCATGTTTGATTTACAGTATGTTCCTCATTTGCATGGTGCTTTAGATAAAATGAAAATGTCAATATAAGCAAATGAACTGTGGAAAAATAGCCTTGCATGAAAATGTTTCCATAGTATTATGGCCTCAAATAAGTTTTTGCTAAAAAGGCATGTGTTTATTATCTGTAATGTAATTCTAATTTAACTACAATGTTCACAACAATTCAGTGTAAACTTCCACTTGGTCTTATACCACATGAACAGTGCATGTGCATTTGTTTTGTGTTTGTTGAATGCAGGGAACTATCATCTCCAAAACTGCAATGGAAAACTACAAAGAAATTGGCCCAACAATGTTTAAGATGTCAGTGCCATTCAGTCCGGCTAAAAGACTCGGTATTCCTGAGGAGGTATCATATAACCTATTATAATGTTGACATTTTAAAATATTACA